ACCACGCAGTGACCTCACACCTCACTCCTCATGCTTCACACCATCCTGGTTCAGTCCTGGTTCATTCCTGATTCAGTCCTGTCCAGTCCTGGTTCAGTCCTGGTTCAGTCCTGGTTCAGTCCTGGTTCAGTCCTGATTCAGTCCTGGTCCAGTCCTGGTCCAGTCCTGGTTCAGTCCTGGTTCAGTCCTGATTCAGTCCTGGTTCAGTCCTGGTTCAGTCCTGGTCCAGTCCTGGTTCAGTCCTGTTCAGTCCTGGTCCAGTCCTGGTTCAGTCCTGGTTCAGTCCTGGTCCAGTCCTGGTTCAGTCCTGATTCAGTCCTGGTCCAGTCCTGGTTCAGTCCTGGTCAGTCCTGATTCAGTCCTGATTCAGTCCTGGTTCAGTCCTGGTTCAGTCCTGGTCCTGGTTCAGTCCTGGTCAGTCCTGGTCCTGATTCAGTCCTGGTCCTGGTTCAGTCCTGGTTCAGTCCTGGTCCAGTCCTGGTTCAGTCCTGATTCAGTCCTGGTCCAGTCCTGATTCAGTCCTGATTCAGTCCTGGTCCAGTCCTGGTTCCTGGTCCAGTCCTGGTTTAGTCCTGGTTCAGACCTTGGCCCACCAGGTCGAGAGCATGAAGTAGGTGTTGACGTGTTCTTCTCCAAACTGTTGGGCGACGTAGAGGCCGAGGGACCCGTAGGCGTCGTAGATGTTTCGTTTGGTCGGGTCGGTCAGAACCGCGTGGGCGCTGTTCAGCTCCTTAAAACGCTCGGCCGCCGCCGGGTTGTCCGGGTTCTTATCCGGGTGGAACCGCAGCGCCAGCTTCCTGCACAAAGACTGGGTTCAGACCGGGTTTAGACCGGGTTTAGACCGGGTTTAGACCGGGTTTAGTTCCAGGGTCCAGGCTCAGATCTGCTCCTGATGTTTGACCCAGAGACACTGGAACTGTCGTCTGTCGGTCCTGTCTCACCTGTCGGTCCTGTCTCACCTGTCGGTCCTGTCTCACCTGTCGGGTCCTGTCTCACCTGTCGGTCCTGTCTCACCTGTCGGTCCTGTCTCACCTGTCGGTCCTGTCTCACCTGTGGGTCCTGTCTCACCTGTCGGTCCTGTCTCACCTGTGGGTCCTGTCTCACCTGTCGGTCCTGTCGGTCCTGTCTCACCTGTCGGTCCTGTCTCACCTGTCGGTCCTGTCTCACCTGTCGGTCCTGTCTCACCTGTCGGTCCTGTCTCACCTGTCGGTCCTGTCTCACCTGTAGGCCTTCTTGATGTCGTCATGGCTGCTCCCGCGCTCCAGCCCGAGCACCGAGTACAGAGACTCTCCTGAAGTGGACAGGGAGCGCTGCCGTCCGTCCGCCATCTGCACCTGCACAGACAGGGGCGGTGACTGCACCTGCACAGACAGGGGCGGTGACTGCACCTGCACAGACAGGGGCGGTGACTGCACCTGCACAGACAGGGGCGGTGACTGCACCTGCACAGACAGGGGCGGTGACTGCACCTGCACAGACAGGGGCGATGTGTCTCTGTTCATGTTTCCTGTTCATATTTAGATTCTGTTTTGACAAAGAAAAATAAGGAAATGTTGTTGTTCTCGTCTCTGTGTCGTCGTGTCGTTGTTTGTCGTCGTGTCGTTCTGTTTGTCGTCGTGTGTTGTGTGTTTGTTTGTGTGTTGTGTGTTGTTTGTTGTGTGTTGTTGTGTGTTGTTGTGTGTTCTGCCTGTTGTGTGTTGTTTGTGTGTTTGTGTGTTGTTGTTGTGTGTTGTGTGTTGTTGTTGTGTGTTGTGTGTTGTTGTGTGTGTTGTTGTGTGTTGTTGTGTGTTGTTTGTGTGTTCTGCCTGTTGTGTGTTGTTGTGTGTGTTTGTGTGTTCTGCCTGTTGTGTGTTGTGTGTTGTGTGTTGTGTGTGTTTGTGTTGTTGTTGTGTGTGTGTTGTTGTGTGTTCTGCCTGTTGTGTGTTGTGTGTGTGTTGTGTGTGTTCTGCCTGTGTTGTTGTGTGTTGTTTGACTCAGGACTTTGTTGAAGCATTAAACACAAAATGGCCGACAGCTTCTTAATAACAGACGAGCCGAGTGTTTAAAGCTCTAGACCGGAACATTTCCTACTTTTCATATTTGGTAAAACTGTCCAAGGTCCAGTTAAACTTCAACACAAACAAAATGTTTCAGTCTTTAAAAGAACTCAGGCCGAGGTTCAGGAGGAGCTGCGTTTGTTCGGTTTGTTAAAGGTCAAACTTTTGTTCAGATGAAGTTGGTTTGATGATCTTACCTGAGCCCAGCTGTGCTCCGCCCCCGGTCCTGGTCCGGTCCTGGTCCGGTCCTGGTCCGGTCCTGGTCCGGTCCTGCTCCGGTCCTGGGGTAGTCCTGGTCTGGTCCTGGCCTGGTCCTGATCTGGTCCTGGTTTACCCCTAGTCTGGTCTGGTCTTGTTTTGGTCCTGCTGTAGTCCTAATCCTGCTCTGGCCTTGGTCCTGGTCTGGTCCTGGTCTGGTCCTGGCCTGGTCCCGGTCCGGTCCTGGTCTGGTCCTGGTTTAGTCCTGCTCTGGTCGTGTGTCTGCGTCTCCTTCATGAATATTGGAGCAGGTCTCAGGTGCCCTCAGGTGAGTCTCGGGTTTCAGACGGGGACCGGTCGCTGTCGCCATGACGACGAGCAGCTGCCACGCACCTGTCAATCACCCAGGCCCCGCCCCCGGCCGCCGCGACCCTGTGACCCTCCGCCCCACAGCCACGAGGTCCCAGGTTCAAGCCCCAAAAACAAAACCGAGTCGAGTTTAAAGACAAAACTTTATTTACAAGAATTTAATAAATAATGATCCACAAAAAAAACAGGACTAAACTAGACCCGGTCTGGACTCAGTCTGGACCTGGTCTGGACCCGGTCTGGACCCGGTCTGGACCCGGTCTGGACCCGGGTCCTGGGCTCAGACTCCGAGCAGGACGCCTGAGAAGCTGGAGCTGGGCAGGATCCTGAGCGACGACCCGGAGCCGTTGTCCACGAACACCGACAGGTACTCCCCCCCCTGCGACAGGACAGGTGCAGACAGGTGAGCCAGACAGGTGCCCGCGCCCCGACAGGTGACGCGTCGTCAGGTGCGATACTGACCTGCAGGTGCAGCGTCCCTGTCAGGACGACGCTGAAGGTTCCACCGGACGCCACCACACCTGTCACCGCGGCAACGGACCTGACAGGTGAAGTGACAGGTGAACGGACAGGTGAACGGACAGGTGAAGTGACAGGTGAACAGACAGGTGAACGGACAGGTGAACGGACAGGTGAAGTGAGGTGAATCGACAGGTGAACGACAGGTGAACGAAGTGACAGGTGAACGGAGGTGAACGGACAGGTGAAGTGACAGGTGAAGTGACAGGTGAACAGACAGGTGAAGTGACAGGTGAACTGACAGGTGAACGGACAGGTGAACTGACAGGTGAACAGACAGGTGAAGTGACAGGTGAAGTGACAGGTGAACGGACAGGTGAACAGGTGAAGTGACAGGTGAAGTGAGGTGAAGGTGAAGTGAGGTGAACAGGACAGGTGAAGTGACAGGTGAAGTGACAGGTGACAGGTGAACAGACAGGTGAAGTGACAGGTGAACAGACAGGTGAACAGACAGGTGAAGTGACAGGTGAACAGGTGAAGTGACAGGTGAATGGAACAGTTCTGTTTCAGTGGTGTTTTGCTCTGGATTCATCTTCATTAAAACTGAAAAATCTTTTTATTTCTCAGACTCAAGTTTCCAGGAGAGAAATAAATCTGAATCTAAATAATTAAAATCTGAATCTAAATAATTAAAATCTGAATCTAAATAATTAAAATCTGAATCTAAATAATTAAAATTGAATCAAAATAATTAAAATCTGAATCAAAATAATTAAAATCTGAATCTAAATAATTAAAATCTGAAATCTCAAAATAACTTAAAACAAATCTGAATTCTGTTTTAAAAATATAAACTCAGGGTCAGGGGTCAGGGGTCAGAGAGGACAGGGGTCAGGGGTCACTCACAGGTTGGTCTGACACAGGGACTGGATGCAGATCGCAGCTCGGACGTGGTCCCGGGCTCGGACTTGGACTCGGTCTCCGGACTCTGAAAACAGATTGGGGTAAGAGGGGTCGGGGTCAGGGTCAGGGGTCGGGGTCAGGGGTCAGGGGGGGTCAGGGTCAGGGGTCGGGGTCGGGGTCAAGGGGTCGGGGTCAGGGTCGGGGTCAGGGTCGGGGTCAGGGTCGGGGTCAGGGTCAGGGTCGGGGTCGGGGTCAGGGGTCAGGGGTCGGGGTCAGGGGTCGGGGTCAGGGGTCAGGGTCGGGGTCAGGGGTCAGGGGTCAGGGGTCAGGGGGGTCAGGGGTCGGGTCAGGGGTCGGGGTCAGGGTCGGGGTCAGGGTCTGGGTCAGGGTCAGGGTCGGGGTCTGGGTCAGGGTCGGGGTCAGGGGTCAGAGGGGACAGCGCCCCCTCCTGTTCCGCCGCACTCACCCATCAGGAGACTCGCCGTGAGCTGATAAAACCCAGAGACCGGAGCCGTGAACCGACCCGAGGACAAAGACGGACCACGAGACCCACTGAGGACCTGAACGAGACCGGGATTAAACCAGGACTAAACCAGGACTAGACCAGGACTAGACCAGGACTAGACCAGGACTAAACCAGGACTAGACCAGGACTAGACCAGGACTAGACCAGGACTAAACCAGGACTAGACCAGGACTAGACCAGGACTAGACCAGGACTGAACCAGGACTAGACCAGGACTAGACCAGGACTAGACCAGGTCTAAACGTGGTTGTGGTCAGACCTGGGTGAAGGTCTGGACTTCCAGGAGACTTCTTCGTGGGACCGAGACTGAGGCCTGGAGTCGACTGGAGAAACAGACCGAGACCCGAGGAGGACCACAGAGACGACACGACTCCCCCGCCAGACCTGAGCAACAAGAGACAGGGACCTGAGTGACCTGAGTGTGTCACAGGGACCTGAGTGTGTCACAGGGACCTGAGTGACCTGAGTGGGCGACTATTGTGGTTTTCTTAAGAGTTTTGGGGACAGGACAATATTTTATTGGTTTAGACCAAGACTGCAAGACTGGACCAAGACTGGACCAAGACTGGACCAAGACTGGACCAAGTCTGGACCAAGTCTGGACCAAGACTGGACCAAGACTGGACCAAGTCTGGACCAAGACTGGACCAAGACTGGACCAAGTCTGGACTGGACCAAGTCTGGACCAAGTCTGGACCAAGTCTGGACCAGGTCTGGACCAAGTCTGGACCAAGTCTGGACCAGGTCTGGACCAAGTCTGGACCAAGTCTGGACCAAGTCTGGACCAGGTCTGGACCAAGTCTGGACCAAGTCTGGACCAGGTCTGGACCAAGTCTGGACCAGTCTGGACCAGGTCTGGACCAAGTCTGGACCAGGTCTGGACCAAGTCTGGACCAGGACTCAGTCTGGATCTGGTCCTGGAGCAAAAACACTGGAGCTTTTCTTTAGAGCCACATTTTTCCATTTGCTGAAAAATCTGACGTCACCAGAACTAAACCAGAACTAAACCAGGACTAAACCAGGACTAAACCAGGACTAAACCAGGACTAAACCAGGACTAAACCAGACTAAACCAGGACTAAACTAAACCAAGACTAAACCAGACTAAACCAGGACTAAACCAGGAAAACTAAACCAGGACTAAACCAGGAGGACTAAACCAGAACTAAACCAAGACTAAACCAGGACTAAACCAGACTAAACCAGGACTAAACCAGACTAAACCAGACTAAACCAGGACTAAACCAGACTAAACCAAGACTAAACCAAGACTAAACCAGGACTAAACCAGGACTAAACCAGACTAAACCAAAAAATAAACCAGGACTAAACTAAAACTAACCAGACTAAACTAAACCAACTAAAGACTAAACAGAAACCAAACACCGACTAAGAGGAACCTCCCCGGGACTAAACTCGTCCTCCACCTCGGGACCTCGTCCTCGTTGGGACCTCGTCCTCCCCGGGACCTCGTCCTCGCCGGGACCTCGTCCTCCCCGGGACCTCGTCCTCGCCGGGACCTCGTCGGGACCTCGTCCTCCCTCGGGGACCTCGTCCTCGCCGGGACCTCGTCCTCGCCGGGACCTCGGCAGGACCCGGTTTATGTTGGTGCGTTAAATCGTGGGCGTCGCCGTGAGCCCTGCACCTCACAAATGTTGTGACTACGAGTCGACTCGGTGCAGACGTTCAGGACGTCCAGGGCTGTGATTGGTCGTTTCTAAACACATTTCCTGTTTTTCACTTTCCCGCTTCATCTCGTAAAACCAACGAAACATTTAAGCCTCATGAGCTCCTCAGGTCACGAACGTCCAGACCAACGTCCAGACAACGTCCAGACCAACGTCCGTCCAGACGAACGTCCAGACCAACGTCCAGACCAACGTCCAGACCAACGTCCAGACCAACGTCCAAACCAACGTCCAAACCAACGTCCAGACCAACGTCCAGACGAACGTCCAAACCAACGTCCAGACGAACGTCCAGACGAACGTCCAAACCAACGTCCAGACCAACGTCCAGACCAACGTCCAGACCAACGTCCAAACCAACGTCCAGACGAACGTCCAACAACGTCCAAACCAACGTCCAGACGAACGTCCAACCAACGTCCAAACCAACGTCCAGACGAACGTCCAAACCAACGTCCAAACCAACGTCCAAACCAACGTCCAAACGTCCAGACCAACGTCCAAACCAACGTCCAGACCAACGTCCAGACGAACGTCCAAACCAACGTCCAAACCAACGTCCAACCAACGTCCAGACGAACGTCCAAACCAACGTCCAAACCAACGTCCAAACCAACGTCCAAACCAACGTCCAGACCAACGTCCAGACGAACGTCCAAACCAACGTCCAGACGAACGTCCAAACCAACGTCCAACGAACGTCCAGACGAACGTCCAAACCAACGTCCAGACGAACGTCCAGACGAACGTCCAACGAACCAACGTCCAACGTCCACGAACGTCCAAACCAACGTCCAGACGAACGTCCAAACCAACGTCCAAACCAACGTCCAAACCAACGTCCAAACCAACGTCCAGACGAACGTCCAAACCAACGTCCAGACGAACATCCAAACCAACGTCCAAACCAACGTCCAAACCAACGTCCAACCAACGTCCAGACCAACGTCCAGACGAACGTCCAACCAACGTCCAAACCAACGTCCAAACCAACGTCCAGACGAACGTCCAAACCAACGTCCAAACCAACGTCCAGACGAACGTCCAAACCAACGTCCAAACCAACGTCCAGACCAACGTCCAAACCAACGTCCAACGAACGTCCAAACCAACGTCCAGTCCAAACCAACGTCCAGACGAACGTCCAAACCAACGTCCAGACGAACGTCCAAACCAACGTCCAGACCAACGTCCAGATGAACGTCCAACGTCCAAACCAACGTCCAAACCAACGTCCAGACGAACGTCCAAACGAACGTCCAAACCAACGTCCAGACGAACGTCCAAACCAACGTCCAAACCAACGTCCAAACCAACGTCCAGACGAACGTCCAACCAACGTCCAGACGAACGTCCAAACCAACGTCCAAACCAACGTCCAAACCAACGTCCAGACGAACGTCCAAACCAACGTCCAACGACGTCCAACGTCCAGACCAACGTCCAACCAACGTCCAGACCAACGTCCAGACGTCCAAACGTCCAAACCAACGTCCAGAACGTCCAAACCAACGTCCAAACGTCAACGTCCAAACCAACGACCAACGTCCAACGTCCAGAACGTCCAACGTCCAAACCAACGTCCAAACCAACGTCCAACGTCCAGACCAACGTCCACCAACGTCCAACGTCCAAACCAACGTCCAGACGAACGTCCAAAACGTCCAGACCAACGTCCAACCAACGTCCAGACCAACGTCCAGACGAACGTCCAAACCAAACGTCCCAGTCCACCAAACGTCCAAACCAACGTCCAGACGTCCAACGTCCAAGACGTCGTCCAACCAACGTCCAGTCCAAACCAACGTCCACGAACGTCCAGACGAACGTCCAAACCAACGTCCAGACGAACGTCCAGATGAACGTCCAAACCAACGTCCAGACGAACATCCAAACCAACCAACGTCCAGACCAACGTCCAACGTCCAACGTCCAGACGTCCAACGTCCAAACCAACGTCCAGTCCAACCACGTCCACGTCCAAACCAACGTCCAAACCAACGTCCAGACCAACGTCCAGACGAACGTCCAGACGAACGTCCAAACCAACGTCCAGACCAACGTCCAAACGAACGTCCAGACGAACGTCCAAACCAACGTCCAAACCAACGTCCAGACCAACGTCCAAACCAACGTCCAGACCAACGTCCAGAACCAACGTCCAAACCAACGTCCAAACCAACGTCCAGACCAACGTCCAGACGAACGTCCAACCAACGTCCAGACCAACGTCCAGACCAACGTCCAAACCAACGTCCAGACGAACGTCCAGACCAACGTCCAAACCAACGTCCAGACCAACGTCCAGAAACCAACGTCCACCAACGTCCAAAACGTCCAACCAACGTCCAGACCAACGTCCAAACCAGACGTCCAGACGTATTTTCTCACCAAGCGAGAAAATAAATGATGTTTGTGTCTGATTGACCCAAGAGAGCAGGAAGGAAAAACGAATCTTCAGGTCAATGTGACCCTGAAAGAGAAGGTTAAACCACCGCAACCACCACCGCCGCAACCGCCGCCTCGTGCAGTGGATGTGAACTTTTAGCAGGTTAGCGTGTTAGCATGTTAGCGTGTTAGCATGTTAGCGTGTTAGCGTGTTAGCGTGTTAGCATGTTAGCATGTTAGCGTGTTAGCGTGTTAGCATGTTAGTGTTAGCATGTTAGCGTGTTAGCGTGTTAGCGTGTTAGCGTGTTAGCATGTTAGCGTTAGCATGTTAGCATGTTAGCGTGTTAGCATGTCAGACACGCCCACACGTGCGTGTCGTTGGCGGTTCGTGTTTCCGGGGAGTTTCTCACCTCGGAGTTTCTCACCTCGGAGTTGATCTCGGAGTTGATCTCGGAGCTGCTGCTGGAGGAGCGGAGGTGGGGGGAGGCCGGGGGCCGCGGGGGGGCCCTGAGGTCCGGGGGGCCCCGGGGGGCCGCGGGGGCCGGGGGGGCCGTGCTACACAAAACAAAACAAAACATGAGAAACAAACGACACTCAGAGTTTGTTCACACGACGACAAACTTTTGTCCAAACGGTGAAGGTTTTATTTGTTTCGGTCGTTCGTTCACACGGAGCCAGAGCCTCGCGTCAAAAAGTTCAGAGGAAAGTCGCTCCTGTCGCTCCTGTCGCTCCTGTCGCTCCTGTCGCCCAACAACCCAGACACACTGCTAATGCTAATGCTAATGCTAACGGTAATGCTAATGCTAACAACACAAAGACACAAACACGGATCAAAAACAAAAACTCGGGGAATTTCAACTGTTGGATTTTCAGACCAAGTTTTTCTAATAATTCTCATCCAAATCTTATGATAAAAATTAAAAGTTCTGTTTCAGATTTGAAAAAACAAAACGTTGACATTTGTGGGACAGAATCTCAAACAAACTAAAGTGATGAGATTTGAACAATTAAATATTCTGATCATTGTTACGGCGCCTCACACTGGTGAGGAAGAGTATTACAGCCTGAAGATTTACTGCTCCAACACAAGACGACGAGTTTCATCAACCCACAAAAAAAACAAAAACATTAAATAAATAAATAAATAAAAATAATAAATAAATAAATAAATCCAGGAGTGTAGATTTATTTAGTTTGACTCAGACAGATTTGATCTGGAAAAACTTCAGATAAGAAATAAAAATATAAAACTGAAAAGAGGAAGAGCACAGAGAGAGGAGGAAGAGGAGGAGGAGAGGAGGAGAGGAGGAAGAGGAGGAGGAAGAGGAGGAGGAGGAGAGAGGAGGAAGAGGAGGAGGAGGAGGAGGAGAGGAGGAGGAAGAGGAGGAGGAGGAGGAGGAGGAGGAGGAGGAAGAGGAGAGAGAGAAGGAGGAGGAGAGGAGAGGAGGAGAGGAGGAGAGGAGGAGAGGAGGAGGAGGAGGAGGAGGAGGAAGAGGAGGAGAGGAGAGAAGAGGAGAGAGAGAGGAGAGAGGAAGAGGAGGAGGAGGAGGAGGAGGAGAGAGGAGGAGAGGAGGAGAGGAGGAGGAGAGAGGAGAGGAGGAGAGGAGGAAGAGGAGAGGAGGAGGAGGAGGAGAGGAGAGGAAGAGGAGAGGAGGAAGAGGAGAGGAAGAGGAGAAGAGGAGGAGGAAGATCAGACCTTTGAGTTCCTCTTCAGGTTCTTGTTGTTGTGTTTTTCTTCGTTGGACATTCTTCTGAAGACGAGCCACGAAGTCTGAGGAGAAAATCTGAAGGAACCTGAGGACTGACAAGAACAACATGAACCTTCTGCACCTCCTCCTCCTCTTCCTCTCCTCCTCTTCCTCTCCTCCTCTTCCTCCTCTCCCTCCTGCTCTCCTCTCCACAGACGTTGTTCTCACCAGGATTTGTTCTTCTTCTTCGTTTTTTTCTTTCAGCGACGTCGTTTCGTCCAGAAGCATCAGAAGAACCAGGAGCAGAGCCAGACGCCCCGACCCCCCGAGCCCAGACACGGAGCCCCGAGCCTGGGGACGCCCGGGACGCATGCTGCCCCTCTGAACCAGGACCAGGACTAAACCAGGACTAAACCAGGACTAAACCAGGACTAAACCAGGACTAAACCAGGACTAAACCAGGACTAAACCAGGACTAAATGAGGACTAAAGAAGGTCTGAATCTGAACACAGTCATGTGCAAACCAGGACTAAACCAGAACTAAACCAGGACTAAATGAGCCCACAGCAGAGTTCTTGCCTGGGTCTTTCTTTAAACCAGGTCTGGTCCAGGTCTCGGTCTGGTCCATGTGAGTCTCATTTTTTCCACCGGTTCACAGAGAATTTTATATGAAACACAAACCCTGACCCCGCCCCCTGACCCGCCCACTCTGCCCCTGACCCCGCCCACTCTGACCCCGCCCCGTGTGCCCGCCCACTCTGACCCCGCCCCCTAACCACGCCCCCTGTGCCCAAGACCCTCCCACAGGACCAGACCAGGACTAAACTTTTGACTGACTTTATAAAATGGTTTGTGTTTTGTTCATTTATTTATTTATTTTTTCCCTTTATTTATGTGAAAATTTAACTTTTAAAATGAAAATTATCACTTTAATATAAAAGAAAATATCAATATTTAATATAATGACAAATATTTAATTTGATGATAAATAAATTTCATTATGATCATAAACGTGGTTCATTTGTTTGTGACTTTTTCTGGTTTAAACTTCGTCCATCAGAGAAAAATCTGATTTCAAATGAAACAACTTAAAATGTTTTTAAAACTGTTTACTTTTCTGCACTGAGTGACGTCCACTCAGGGCCACACAGTGATGTCATCACGTGATGTTGTGTATAGTGTGTTGTGTTAATGAAAGAGGAGGTGCACTGACGGGTGCAATGACAGGTGCACTGACAGGTGCACTGACAGGTGTCTCATTCTCCACAATCACCTGACAGAACCTGGTCCCAGGACTAAACCAGGACTAAACCAGGTCTACCGTGTGACGTCATGACCCCACAAACTGGAGCCACGCCCACTACACACCAGGGGGCGGAGCTACAGCAGGGGGTGGGGCCAACTGAACAGTGGGCGTGGCTTAAGAATGATGTAATCTGTGAGACTTCAATTACATCATCAAACTGACGTAAGATTACGGCACTGGTCTGGTCCTGGTTTAGTCCTGGTTAAATCCTGGTTAAGTCCTGGTTTAGTCCTGGTTGAGTTCTGGTCTAGTTCTGGTTAAGTCCTGGTTGAGTTCTGGTCTAGTTCTGGTTTAGTCCTGGTTGAGATCACAGTTTGTATAATGAAATGGACTAAGTCAGTGTGTTCAGCTCCACTCAAATGCCCCTGTCTGCCCCTGTCTGCTCCTGTCTGCCCCTGTCTGCTCCTGTCTGCCCCTGTCTGCTCCTGTCTGCCCCTGTCTGCTCCTGTCTGCCCCTGTCTGCCCCTGTCTGCTCCTGTCTGCCCCTGTCTGCCCCTGTCTGCCCTGTCTGCTCCTGTCTGCCCCTGTCTGCTCCTGCTCTGTCTGCCCCTGTCTGCTCCTGTCTGCCCCTGTCTGCTCCTGTCTGCCCTGTCTGCCTGTCTGCCCTGTCTGCCCCTGTCTGCTGTCTCTGTCTGCCCTGTCTGCTCTGTCTGCCCTGTCTGCCCCTGTCTGCTGTCTGCTCCTGTCTGCTCCTGTCTGCTCCTGTCTGCCCCTGTCTGCTCCTGTCTGCCCCTGTCTGCCCCTGTCTGCCCCTGTCTGCTCCTGTCTGCTCCTGTCTGCTCCTGTCTGCCCCTGTCTGCCCCTGTCTGCTCCTGTCTGCTCCTGTCTGTTTGTTCTGATGTAACTTTTTTCTCTGAAACTCAAACATGAGATAAACTTATCAAACCCCAACACACGACAACAGACCAGAACTAAACCAGAACTAAACCAGGACTAAACCAGGACTAAACCAGGACTAAACCAGGACTAGACCAGGACTAGACCAGGACTAGACCAGAACTAAACCAGGACTAAACCAGGACTAAACCAGAACTAAACCAGGACTAAACCAGGACTAAACCAGGACTAAACTAAACCAGAACTAAACCAGGACTAAACCAGGACTAGACCAGAACTAAACCAGGACTAGACCAGGACTAAACCAGGACCAGAACTAGACCAGGACTAACCAGGACTAAACCAGGACTAAACCAGGACTAAACCAGGACTAGACCAGGACTAGACCAGACTAAACCAGGACTAGACCAGGACTAGGACTAGACTAGACCCAGGACTAAACCAGGACTAAACCAGGACTAAACCAGGACTAAACCAGGACTAAACCAGACCAGGAACTAGACCAGAACTAAACCAGGACTAGACCAGGACTAAGACCAGGACTAGAACTAAACCAGGACTAGACCAGGACTAGACCAGGACTAGACAGGACTAGGACTACAGGACTAGACCAGAACTAAACCAGGACTAGACCAGGACTAGAACCAGGACTAGACCAGGACTAGACCAGACTAGACCAGAACTAAACCAGGACTAGACCAGGACTAGACCAGAACTAGACCAGAACTAAACCAGGACTAGACCAGGACTAGACCAGGACTAAACCAGGACTAGACCAGGACTAGACCAGAACTAAACCAGGACTAGACCAGGACTAGACCAGGACTAGACCAGAACTCCAGACTAGACCAGGACTAGACCAGGACTAGACCAGGACTAGACCAGACTCAACCAGACTAGACCAGGACTAGACCAGGACTCGACCAGGACTCGACCAGGACTAGACAGGACCAGGACTAAACCAGGACTAGACCAGGACTAGACCAGGACTAGACTAACCAGGACTCGACAGGACTCGACCAGGACTAGAACCAGAACCAGGACTAGACCAGGACTAGACCAGAACTCAAACCAGGACTAGACCAGGACTAGACCAGAACTCGACCAGGACTAGACCAGGACTAGACCAGAACTAGACCAGGACTAGACCAGGACTCGACCAGGACTCGACCAGGACTAGACCAGGACTAAACCAGGACTAAACACAGAAACTGAAAAATGATTCGTTTTCTGTTTTTTGTTCTTTTTTTCATTTTGGTTTTGGAGACAAATAATGAAGAAAATATTAGTTTTTTCGTTTCACGACGACGTCACAAACTCAGAGAATCAAAAGGAACGAATCACATACACACTAGTGTGAACCAACCACTCCCATACACACTAGTGTGAACCAACCACTCCCATACACACTAGTGTGAACCACCCACTCCCATACACACTAGTGTGAACCACCCACTCCCATACACACTAGTGTGAACACCATATGAACCACCCACTCCCATACACTAGTGTGAACCACCCACTCCCATACACACTAGTGTGAACCACCCACTCCCATACACACAGTGTGAACCAACCTCCCATACACACTAGTGTGAACCACCCACTCCCATACACACTAGTGTGAACCAACCGCTCCCATACACACTAGTGTGAACCACCCGCTCCCATACACACTAGTGTGAACCAACCACTCCCATACACACTAGTGTGAACCAACCACTCCCATACACACTAGTGTGAACCAACCACTCCCATACACACTAGTGTGAACCACCCACTCCCATACACACTAGTGTGAACCACCCACTCCCATACACACTAGTGTGAACCACCCACTCCCATAACACACTAGTGTGAACCAACCACTCCCATACACACTAGTGTGAACCACCTCCCATACACACTAGTGTGAACCACCCACTCCCATACACACTAGTGTGAACCACCCGCTCCCATACACACTAGTGTGAACCACCCACTCACATACACACTAGTGTGAACCACCCACTCCCATACACACTAGTGTGAACCACCCGCTCCCATACACACTAGTGTGAACCAACCGCTCCCATACACACTAGTGTGAACCACCCGCTCCCATACACACTAGTGTGAACCAACCGCTCACATACACACTAGTGTGAACCAACCGCTCCCACACTAGTGTGAACCAACCGCTCCCATACACACTAGTGTGAACCAACCACTCCCATACACACTAGTGTGAACCAACCACTCCCATACACACTAGTGTGAACCAACCACTCCCATACACACTAGTGTGAACCAACCACTCCATAAACACTAGTGTGAACGGACACTCACATAAACACTAGTGTGAACGGGGCTGCAGACAAACTTTATTGATCCACAGGAAATGATCTGGACTCAGTCACACGTCACAAAACAAGAACAAAGAAAAATAAAAATGGTCAGAATAAATTCTAAACAAGCAGCAAAAAAAGCAAAAGAAACACGAGTGAAATAAAACAGAATCATTTAAATGTAAATATACAAAAATAAAATGTCAAAATAAAATAGAAAAATAAATCATCAAATATAAAATCTCAAGAGGAAGAAGAACTCGTGTGGATCAGATCCGGCTGACGTCTCCTCGTGTCTCTGCTTCCTGTTGCACGTTTAAAAATCATTTAAAAATCGTGAAGTCGGTTTTACGAACTTTAAAAACCACCAAACTGGATGGGGGGGGGGGGGGTGTCTGTGTAAAAATGTTGGTTCAGTTGAAGCGAGCAGTGTGACCCTGATCGACGCTAGCGCGTTCGTTGGCGTATTCGTTGGGGCGTTCGTTGGCGCGTTCGCTGGCGCGTTCGTTGGCGCGTTCGTTGGGCGCGTTCGTTGGCGCGTTCGTGGCGCGTTCGCTGGCGCGTTCGTTGGCGCGTTCGTTGGCGCGTTCGTTGGCGCGTCGTTGGCGCGTTCGTTGGGCGTTCGTTGGCGGCGTTCGTTGGGGCGTTCGTTGGGGCGTTCGTTGGCGCGTTCGTTGGGGCGTTCGTTGGGGCGTTCGTTGGGGCGTTCGTTGGCGCGTTCGTTGGGGCGTTCGTTGGGGCGTTCGTTGGGGCGTTCGTTGGGGCGTTCGTTGGGGCGTTCGTTGGCGCGTTCGTTGGGGCGTTCGTTGGGGCGTTCGTTGGCATGTTCGTTGGTGTGTTTGTTCCAGCAGACGGCAGGAGTCAGAGATCTGCTGTTCTGTCTCTATGTGTCTGCGTGGGTCGTTCATGTTCGTGCGGTGGTTCGTGCGGTGGTTTCGGCGGCGGTTTCGGCGTCGGCCTGCAGGGGGCGTCTCGGCCTGTACCTGAAGCGGACGTCGTGGGCCGGGTGCATGATGCCCAGGCCGGCGCGGGACAGGTCCAGGGGCACGTCGGCGTCCGGGTCACACAGCTCCACGTCCAAGTGCAGCAGCAGCAAACACACAAACTGTTTGATCTGGTGCAGCGCCAGGAAGCGGCCCGGGCACATGGTGGCACCGGAACCAAACGGCATCAGGTGGTACTTGAGGCGCTGGCCGCTCTTGTAGAAGTCCAACTTCTCTTTCCCGTCGTCAAGGTAACGGTCGAACTGGAAACTCTGGAACATTAAATATTCAACAGACTCAGACACTCACAGTCCTGGTTCAGTCCTGGTCTAGTCTTAGTTCAGTCATGGTCCAGTCCTGGTTCAGTCCTGGTTTAGTCCTGGTTCAGTCCTGGTTTAGTCCTGGTTCAGTCCTGGTTTAGTCCTGGTTTAGTCCTGGTTCAGTCCTGGTTTAGTCTTAGTTCAGTCCTGGTTCAGTCCTGGTTCAGTCCTGGTTTAGTCCTGGTTTAGTCCTGGTTCAGTCCTGGTTTAGTCTTAGTTCAGTCCTGGTCCAGTCCTGGTTCAGTCCTGGTTCAGTCCTGGTTTAGTCCTGGATTAGTCTTGGTTCAGTCCTAGTTTAGTCTTGGGTCAGTCCTGGTCCTGGTCTGGTCCTGACCTTGGGCTCTGGGTAGATCTCGGGGTCCAGCTGGGCACTGTGGGGACACATGGTGATCATGTCTCCTTTCCGGATGGACCAGGTCGAGGTCTGGTCCAGTCTGAGGCTGAAGTCCTCCAGAACCACACGAACGTTTAAGGACATCGAGCTGAGACGCAGACTCTCACTGAGCACCGAGCCTGCACACGGACCACCGGGTCAGAACCACCGGGTCAGGACCACTTTTACACACAAACTGAACTAAAACAAAGGTCAGATTTAAAGTCTAACTTTGAGTAAGAGACCTTCAGACAGAGCAGTGCCTCAGTTAGCATCAGACCTACAGAGAATGTTGATCCTGACGTGAAATAAATCTGATTTCAACCACGAAAAGACGGAACCAGGCTTCAGTCCAATCCGGTCAGATCATCATGTGGTGTTTCCCCTACGCCACATGACGTGTCACCGCCCACAGCTCCGCCCACAGCTCCGCCCACAGCTCCGCCCACTCCGCCCACAGCTCCGCCCACAGCTCCGCCCACAGCTCCGCCCACTCCACCAATTATCCAATCACAATGTGGCAGAGTGAGTTTAAAAAGGTCCCTGATGTCGTTTAGGGGCGGAGCCAGAGGACAGAGCTCTGAGGGGCGGGACAACCAAACTTTTCACTTTTATGTTCTCATGTGTCACGATTTAACTTCACACTGCACACGTCACACTTTTTCACACTTCTTCACACTACTCGTCTTTCAGAAGCAGACGTGTTGTTGGATTTGGGCGTGTCACTGTGGGCGTGGCACAGTGGGCGTGGCACAGTGGGCGTGGCACAGTGGGCGTGTCACGGGGGGGCGTGTCACAGGGGGGGCGTGTCACTGTCACGGGGGGGCGTGTCACGGGGGACGGGGGCGTGTCACAGGGGGCGTGTCACAGGGGGCGTGTCTTCAAAGGGTCAGAGAGAAAAACCAGAACCTGGAGAAACGTGAGAAGGTCCCGTTTAAAGTCCTCACCCAGAACCACGAGTCGGTCCAGCTGCTCCTCGGTCAGGACCAGGTCTGGGTCCGGCCTGAGTCCTTCCTGTGACATCAGCTCCTGTAGCTCCGCCCTCACGGCTCGCAGCGCCTCCTGGTGGCGGAGCAGGTGGAACAAGCACCAGAACAT